CTCTCTCCACATGGTCATGGCCAGCCTCTACTCCTCTACTTCTCTGATCTCTCTCTCTCTCTCTCTCTCTCTCTCTCTCTCTCTCTCTCTTTCTTTCTGCCTCTACTACCCTCCTGGCTCCCCTCCCCATGCCCTGAAAAAACTCTATTCTATGCTATACCGATGTTGTGTGTCTGGTCCCTCAGGGGGAAGAGATGCCTCAGCATGGGCCCGCTGAGACATCCCCTTCCCCCATACCTCTCCACACACCCACAGGACATACTCTTTATCTCTTTATCTTTTTATAAACACATCACTATAACTACTCTCTGCAGATGCCCGGGCACTCTAATGCAAGAACACCAAACTCTGATGAACTTGTTCAGTCTGGCAATTAGAAAATTTGGAAACAGGCTATTAGAACTTCATAGTATATGTACCTCTTTTATTTTTTATTTTTTGACAATGTAATTTTAAAAAGATGTTTAGGCAATCTTTGTGAATTTGAGGCTTACCTGATCTACATAACAATTTCCAAGACAACTAGTGCTATATAGAGTGACTCTGTCCCAAACAAACCAACAAACATTTAAGTTTACTATAATCTTAGTAATCAAGCTGTCCAAATGTCTTATTCCAGGCTTACGAGTAGGTTCACTAGAGGAAATAGAACTGGTCTCTACAATGCTTTGATGATGATGACAATAATTTTAATTGTATATGTTTATGTAAATTACTGTAGCTATTATGAGGAACAGTATGGAAGTACCTCAAAAAACTAAAAATGGTTAGGACGCAGCTATTTCACTTCTGAGTGTGTATCCAATGGAAGTGAAGTCAGCATATCACAGAGACACCTGCATGCTCATGTTTGTTCCAATGTCCACTTAAAATGTGACATTGAAGAGGTCAACTCAGGAACTTTAGAAAATTCCACCAGACCCCTCCCCTCCTGGAAGAGAAAGGTCATAGAACACTTAGGCAAGGCACTCCTACCCTCCAGAAGGAAGAGGCTAATTAACATTCCTCAGACCACAGGGGGTGGGGAACCGACCTGACCTGCTGTGGGGATGGGGGGAGTGAGGGGTGGGGGGGGAGTGGGGGTTGAGGGGCAGGAAAACTGACCATTGGCCACTCGCAGACTAGAGAAGTCTCTGCCACCTTATTCTCTAAAGATCAATCAACTTAAAAGTCACATTGTTCTGCCAGTCATATTGTGCCTAGTTGCTGTGTCTCTATGCTACTCCTGGAGACTGTAAATGTCTGCTGAACAAGCTGTGCAGGGTCAGGTCACCTCTCCAGCATGCTGGAACATTAAAATTCCTCTTGCTTTTTGCAGCAATTCTCATCTCCAAGTGGTTCACTCAGGGGGTCTGGTAAACAAAGGCTCTCAGAGTCTTACAACATGATGCTAGAGAGATGGCTCAGTGATTTAGAGCTCTGGCTGCCCTTGCAGAGGACTAGAGTTTGAAACCCCAGTAAACACACAGATGCTCACAACCATCCCTAACTCTAGTTCCAGGTGATCTGACACCCTCTTCTAGATTCCCTGGGCACCAGGCACACACAAGGTACATGAAGGTCAAACATCCATATACTTTTTAAAGTTGACTCATGAATTCATGTACTTTTAAGTCAAAATTAACAATTTGAAAAGGAAAGCTGTTTCCTATCTGACCTGTGAGCTCCACTCCCCCAAATCAACTACACCCAACATCTTTCCCTTTATGCGCTCTCTTTTTTTCCTATATCACTTTTATATAAGTATATTTTCATTTCTTATCTTATACTATCTATAAACCTTCTACTCTGCGTGGGGAATTTAAATTTTGTTTTTTTTTCTTTCCTGTCTGTTTTCTCTCTGTGTCTCTGTCCTCTCTTTGTCTCTGTCTCTATCTCTCTCTTCCTGTCTTCTCTACCTTGCCAACTTTTAAAATAATCAAATCTCTAAATCACTGTGACCAAACAAATACCATAACACAATGTTACATGTCCTTTCTAAGTTTTTTATTTCCAGGAGTTAATAATTGCCTTGGTGTTTTTACGTTGTTTTGCTTTCTGGTTGTTTCTCTCTAATCCACCCCTAAACTTTCCAAAGGAAGTCTGATCCATCTCCCAACTATCATGCTATGCACACTCAGCCCTGAAGCCCTCCAGTGCAGCCCCGTTTGAAAGGATTGTTTTCCAGGCCTGCTGCTCAGCTGCCACACAGACACCATCCTTCCCTATCAGTCCCTGAAATCCCATCTTCTTCTGTGTTGAACCCCATCACCTTTAGACCTGAATTGTTGCCTCTTGATCAAATGCTATATTGTCATACAGTGTAATTTCTTGGAACTTCCTAAGAAAAGCTATGAAACATAGGCTTTTTTGAGACATTCTTTTTGAAGTCATGTGTTTGAGAGTGGCTCTTTTCATCTTTCCTGCTTGGTGATGATAGTTTAGAGAGATTTTTTTCAAAATCTATAGTTGGTTATGGTTGAGAAGATAAAAATTCTAGGTTCAAATTTTATTATCTTCTAGCTTCTGGTATTATTGTAAAGATAAGAAACTATTATTTTTCCTGATATTTTATATATGATCTATCTTATTCTTTCTAGACATATCATTTTCTTCCTTCCTGTTCTTCCCAAAATTTCTTTAATTAGATTTTAAATCACCTTGATTTTTTCTTATTGCCTATTTTATTCTGGAGATTATTCTTAATTCTACTGAGTCTTCCTTCCTGCTTTTGAATTATAATTTTAATCACAAGATTCCCAGTACTGAAGAAAGGAAAGAGAAACTAATGAATGGTACGTTGATGAGTAAGCTTTTGCTTGCTTGGTTTGATGGGATAATTCCTTTCTTCCTTAATTGTTTGTTTCCTGAGGCCTTGGCGTGTCTTTGTCTTGACTTTCCTCCTGTTTGTTAAGAGTTCTTCATATGTAATGGCTCCACCTGGCTATGTGTTCACATCTAAGTGTTAAACATCACAAGCCATATTTAGCCCTTTCCGTAAAATTGCCATTATCAGCTGGCAGGTCTGCTCTTAGCCATTCTGTTGAGAGGATATCCACATTCACAGGAACCTTAGTCTGCTGAATGTTCTCAGAGTGATGCGGTCTGAATGGATCCATGCTTCCCTTCCAGTATTTGGAAGGAGTAGGTAACTCAAGTGGCCTATGGGGTTTTTAGAGATCAACATTGAAGCTCATTTCTTTCTGTTTACATCACATCAGTGATGTGAGTAAATTATGAGTGTGTTTGGTGTCCCCAAACCTCTGTCACTTAATGACACACTCAATAAAATCTAGTGATTTGTGTGTTACCTTGGGAAGGGTTTCATGACAGTGTTAGTTAGGGAGAGAAGGAGCTGGAATCCATTGTTCTTTATTCACAGTGTCAACCAACTCTTCTCTTCACCCACACCCTGCTCAGAGTAACCGAGGCTAAAATCCAGAGTCTTTCTGAAGTTCAGTGGGACCAGTGGGCTTGCTTCTCCACACTGAAGGTGTGATCCCACTTCCCTCCCACACGTAGCTTTGAGAGCTCTGTCCCTGCTCATCCATTCGCTCTCTAACATCTCAGATGCCCCTGTACCTTCCTTACACTTCCTTTCTCCTGCAGGTTTTCGTCAGCTTTATCTCTTGGTTGTCACCTTAGCAGGGCTCCAGGCAGCCATCAGTGTGTGCTTACACACATCCCATGCTCATTTTTATAAAAGTATACAACCTAGAAGGGAGCTTAGATGTCACCTACACATTCTAGGTTACTTTTTTTTTTTCCAGAGGTGTCTGACTTTTTCTACCACAGATGCAATTTTAGGTAGAAAAGCCAATTTGTAAAACAGACAAGAGGGCAACTATTTTGGTTGCAGCTGATAAATTAAAAAGATTTTCATCTGATTGCTCCTAAAATAATTTAAAATGCTTGCTAGGGGTCTCTTCTTCACTAGGCACAGTATGAGTCTCTGGAAAATCACAGAGAAGAAATGCAGCTTCTGACCCATGGTGCTCACTGTACACCCCTATTCCATAAACTGCCCAAGAAGTCTGCTTTGAAGATTTCTCATCTAATTGAGATACAGAGAGGAAAACTAACTAGGCCAAAGGAAGCCATCCTTGTCACTAGGAGTGAGATGCCCTTAACAACTATTGCTGATATGTAAGACGTCAGTTCTCAGGGTGATAGCCTGGACAGAAAAGTCAAAGAGGTTTGCTGTACCTATGGCTTTGTGCACTGGGATGTGCAAACGCTAGAAAAAGGCGCATTATGTAGAAAGCTCCTGACAGATAGAGAGGACTGTTTCCCCCACATAAAAACGCCATCGTTGATCTCTATATTCTTGCCATCTCCTTTGAAGATATCGCTTTTGTTTTTATAATTAAAATTTGTAAAACAGTCACTCAGAATTTAAAAGAAAAAAAAAACTCAGTCATTTTCATCTCAGCTCTTTAAAAACTCTGTGTGAAAATCTATTGTTGAATGCTGAAAGTTATCACAGCTGGGCTTTTTGGATTAAAAAAAAAAAACAGTAGAAGCCAAAAAAAAAAAAATAGAGTTTTATCCTTGAGGCACAACAATCCCATTTATTGAGGCTGACAATGCTAAAGACATTTCAAGCTTTGTTTTTCAGACCAAATCTCTTCCAATAACTGACTGACCTTCAGAGTGACAGTCCTTTAAGCTTCACTGAATACAATCTGCTTTGCTAGAACCAGCTGGGCAGGGAGAGTCCTCTTCCAGGGACTTTAAATGTACTATGCACCACCAGGCTGCCACTTGGTCAAAGAAGACAACCAAATGTCATTTACTTCATTCTTCAAGGCTGGGAGTCACTGGTAATAATAATAAGGGTTTCCTCCTTGAGTTTCTTAGCTGTTACTCCAGACCCTTTGATCTCTGTTGGCCTCAGCCTCCTCTTCTATAGGATGCAGAATTTGATCAGAATATCTGTAAAGTTCCTCAAAAGCTTCCCACTTCTTGGATACTTTAACAGAAGCAGCAAAGATCACCAGAGCCTGAAGAAGCTGACTTACCTAAAGAGGTGTAACCCAGGACACGTTCCAAACATCCAACCAGTGCATCAGTATCACTGTCCTGTCAAAGCAAGAATAATATTTAATGACAAGAACATGCTCATGCTACATTTAGACACAACACAGCCATAGAATTGTTTGCAAAGTTATTTTACAATGTAGCTGTGTTCCTTTTAAAGAAAGCCATGGGCGTTCATGTGTATACCTACATCTCTGTATCTATATAAATGTGTGAGTACCAATCTGTAGATCCTCTGATTTTTCTCTTTTATGGGAAGGGCAGAGGCTAACACTGTTAACAGTGGGTCTCAGTGAATTTGGTTTTGGAGGTTCACGGCTCTACACTTAGCTTACCCTGAGCCCTGTTAAGTGCTTCCAACCAAAAGGCAAGTGTGCATGAGAACTCTCATTTCATCTTTTGTTTGGAGCTTTCCAAAATTTCCATAATAAACAACTATTATTTTAATCTTCAAATATAATGAATGTTATAGTAATTTTTAAAAACCAAGATTTTATTACTTAATAATACAGCAGGAATAAAGGAAATATTTTTTTCTACATCTTGGGAAATCTGTGACCTTCAAGGAGTTCTATATCAAATAATTACGCTCCTCATTTACCTCAGGCCTCAAGGAAAGCCAGCTATCTCCCAGGAGGGTTGGGAGGATTTCAGAACCATACTAGAGAACAAATATTTTCTTTTATGCAGAATAAATATCTGCTCTCCACCCAGCAGGCTGCAAATCATCGAAAAGAGCATACTAATGATCTGGGAAAATGGAACCTCTTCATTATTTTCAGGTTCATGGCTGCCCTGGGGTTGGGGGGGCGGGGATTAATCATTCATGGATCACCTGTTCCATTTCAAGTCAAGCAAACATTTCACATAGCAATAACTAACTGTAGGTCATAGGGAAAGCCCACGAGAGTGTGGTGGGCTACTCTAACACATTCCATAAACATGCTGGATTTCATTTTATAACATTCTCTGGAGTGTTGGCAGCTACTTGTCAGGCATGTTGTAAAGCTCAGCAGCATCTCATGCTCAGAATATACAGAAAAGGCTGTTGGGAGGAGGGTTTGCCTGGCTAATGGTGGTCAGTGAAGTCTAAATAGGAAAAGCAGCATCTCATGCTCAGAATATACAGAAAAGGCTGTTGGGAGGAGGGTTTGCCTGGCTAATGGTGGTCAGTGAAGTCTAAATAGGAAACAAATGGTGACTGGCCCAGGAATAGGGAAGTAGGTGCCAGGCATAGAAATTAAAGAAAGCCAAACAAATCCTTCCTTCTTTACCCTTAAAGGACAACCTAAAGTCACAGACTTTCCAGAGAAGCATCCTCTACTAGAGTGGACACCATCTGCATACACTGCTCATGACACCAACCAAGTGAGTGCAGGTTCTAAGCCTGACTCCTCTACCAGGAATATTTGCCCTGGCCGGGAGCTTAACTTCCCAGTTCTTAGCTTATTTGTTTTAAATGTGTATGAATGTTTTGCCTGCTTATATGTCTGTGCATCACATGTGTGCCTGGTACCTGCAGAGGCCAGTGTTGGGGAGGGAGAAGGGAGAGGATACCTGGAAATGCCGCCCAGCCATCTAATCTAGCTGAATTGGTGAGTTCCAGGTTCAGAGAGAAGCTTGGTCTCAAAGAACAAGGTAGAGAGTGTGAGGAAGATGTTCAGTGTCAACATCTGGTCTCCACACGTGTGCCCCTCTCTCTCTTTCTCTCTCTCTCTCTCTCTCTCTAGAATAAGTCATTGTTTTAATCCACTATTTTTTTTGTCTGACATTAGCTGACCAAGTGTTTTAGATTTTTAAATCCTGGAACATGATCCCAACCCCTGGCTTGGAAGAACTCCTAACTGCACATCTGTGCACTTCTCTTCCAGCTTCTGAGATGCATGAGGAAGTGAATGGCACCAACTCCTTGGGTAGCCACTCAAAGTCTACTGTTGCTGGGTAACAACAGACTGAACCCATTTAATGTGCCCCTTGTGTACATGCGTTTAGGACTTATCACTTGGGCTTAGGTAACTTATTAGGATGCTCATCCCTGGAGAAGACCAAGTCCTCTCTCTCAGCAGCCACTGATTGTATTTAAGACTTAACAGACGTCTACATGAAAACACGTATGTACCCTTCATCTCAGAGTCAACATTTTTTTATGTGTATGTATTTACAATGACATTTCTCAACCTTAGAACTATTGATATTTAGGACAAGATAATTCTAAAACAATGTATGGCATTCAGCAGTACCTGTGGGCCTCAAACCAATACATGTCAGTAGGACTTTGCCAAAATACCTCCCCAATCCAAGTTGTGAAGACCCAAAATATTGTGAGACACTGCCAAACTTTTCCCATAGGGGACAAAAATCTGTCCTGGTTGAAGGCTATCAATCAAATAACCAACCAATCATTCATTCCATGGATCTACCTATCATCTAATTTTGACATACATAGTTGGTTTTATTGTTTTCCTGCTGGCCAAATTTGAGGATCAGTAAAGGCACAGCACTATCCTCCAAGTCAGGCCATCTTCAGGAGTCCATTCGTGCTAGCTCACAGGAAGAGCATCACAGCTGGATTTATCAACTGTTGACATCGCTCACAGGGGTGCGGAGGGTCAGGCAGGAGAGCTTCACCGTGGTAAACTGTCTCAATTAGGGCTCTGTGGCTGTTATAAACACCACAAACAAAAGCAGCTTAGGGAGAAAAGAGTTTATTTCTGCTCATAATTTATAGACCACCACTGAAGCCAGGGCAGAAACTTGGAGGGAAGAACCAAAGCAGAACCACTTAAGAACTCTGCATGTTGGCTTGCTCCCCATGGCCTTTTCAGCTTGCTTTATTAAAACACCCTAGACCACCTAGGGCCATCACTGTCCTCAGTGGGCTGGGCCTTCCCACATCAATTAATAATAGTAATACCCACATGACTATAGGCAATCTAGTGGAAGCATGCCCTCAATTAAGTTCTCATCTTTCCAAGTGACTCTAGGTTGTGTCAACTTGACAGACAGCTAACCAGTACACCAACCACTCCTTCCAATCAGTTGTATGCAATTCTGCCCTAATTGAATGTGGCTTTGGAATCTTGAGGCAGAGCTAGAGTACATAGGCTAGGGATGACTAGGGGAAGTCATAATCTATGTTGGGTGCCTACCTCTGAGTGTGGCTACTTTAGGGACGGACACCCATGTTCTTGCTCCAAAGGACTCCTCACCCATGCTCTGTAAGTAATCTCAGTAAGCTCACTGGTTCCCTAGGGGTGGCTTTGATGGAACTAAACTTTGGTTTGTCATTGAAACTTTGGGAGGGGACTGACATTATCTAGTCTCTCTCAAAAAGAAAAGTCTTGCAATAGATGGCAAGTGTACTTTTTATAGTTAAGTTAAACTTTCTCTATTATGGAAAAGAGACAATTTGCAATATCAGCACCTACATTTTTGTAATGAATAAGAATTATGGGAAGGCAAATGGCTCATCCGTACAGTTCTATATCGCTTATTTGAACATGATGTTAGTGGGAGAAGTACACAGAAGCGAATGCCAAGGCTTCTCCTGGATGTTTCCTGATGTCCTGTGCTCTGTGGGCCCACAAACAGAGACAGGGTCACACCATGTGGAGATGGGCTGCTGACAAAGATGTTTACATTCCCTTACTGTTTCACAATTTGTTGAGTTTTGATGGATTTAACTGGCCCATGAGAACAATTCCATCTCAATAGATGACACACCATACTGCCACTAGCCTTTATTCATACGGACCAAGGGCTTGGAAGACAGATTTTTCCTAATGTTTTAGAAACAGCAAAAGCAATTCCTTTTTTAAATGAATTTATATGCTTCCCAAGCCTACATTTCTAGAGCCATTGACCTCTCCATAAGTAGGATGTGCCTTCCAGGCATGAAGAACAGCCCCCATTCCCCACCAAAGTTCAGTTCTCAAAAACTTGCCCATAGATTCAAATTCAAAATTAAATGCACAGAATTTCTTTTTCAAAAACAGATCTCACTTAGCTGCTGAGTCAGCTGTCTGTTTACAGCAGGTCCAGTTGAACCCATTAACACACACATTAACTCTCAGCTCCTGCCTAGCAGCCACGGAAAATGTATGGTATTTGCACAAATCTTCCATTTTAACAAATATTATATACATTTTCTCTAAAACAATCATTTATTTTTTTATAGTGGAAAAAGTAGAAAATTATCAAAGAGAATATGTTACTCTAAAATCCCCGTTTTCAATATAGCACTATTCTTTAGATGGTTCATTACCTGTGCTTATTTTTCAGACATCTGAAAGACACTATAATAACATATGCGTGTATCCATAGAGACGTAAATTTTTGCTTGAGTTTTTCTGCTGTGCTTTTAAATTTTTTAACAACAAAACCAATTGGTACTGTAAAATCATGTCACATGTATTTATCCACACCCTCCTACTATTGGGTGCCTAAGTTGTTATCATTTACTTATTGTGTTGTACGTAGTAATGTGAAGTTCATCATTCCAAATCTTCACTTCGTGTTTATTACTTATTTGGGTTAGTCACATAGGAATACCAGGTAATGTGAATGAATGGTTGCCACACATCTCACTTTACTTTGGCCCTCTGTCTACACATTCACATGCCCCAGTGGTGTGCTTCCTCACAGTGAACTGCAATGTGGCCATCCTTTACTCATCCCGTGTTCTACTACATCCTACTTCCTCTTAAGATACAAGAGGACCTCAGTCCATTGTCTCCACACTCGGCCTACACTCTACCTACCCATGGTCCTGTCTGGTTTGTTTGCTTGCTTGTTTGTTTGTTTAATATGCCAAGACTCCTCCCATGTGAACATTCCATCGTTGGCTGGGGATGCTCTTCTCTCAAGGTTGTGATTATCTTTCTAATCCTTCAGATCTTGACTTCATGTCACCTGCTCAGAGGTCCTCTGATCACTCATGCTCATTAGACTTGTTTCTGAGGTCATGCTTCATCATGACGCATGGTCTGTTTCTTTCAATGTTGTTCCCCATAGATGAAGGCCACGCTTTGTTATACTGAGTA